CTCCTGTCTCTCCGCAACTTGTGGTCGTTTTCTCTTATTCCGATTTCCATCTCTCCGGCTCCAGCTCCGGCTCCGGCTCCGGCTCCGACTCCTGCCCCCAACACGTCTCCTGAGGGCTCCAGCCCCCCCCGCGCCGCCCTATGAGGGCCGGTCCCGCCGGACCGAACTCGCGCGCTCGCCTCGCCTCGCTCGCCTCCTCCTCCTCCTCCTCCTCCTCCTCCTCCTCCCTTTCTCAACCCACCCTCCTTCCAGGGACGAACTCGAGGTCGGCGACGGCAGCGGTGACGACATCCACGACGACCACGACGACGAAGACGATGACACTGGCGACAGCGACGGCAACGCCGACGGTGACGACGGCGAGGACCGCCTGACCTGTCCTGACGAGTGCGTTCTGGCCAGACTCGAGGCGGAATCTGGCCGTGGCCACGAGGGGCCCCTGGAGGGGCCCCCAGAGGCCCAGAACGGCCCAAAACGTCAGAACACCCCGACCTTCCAGCGTCGACCCTCGACCCTCGAACGACGACGACGACGACGACGACGACGACGACGACGACGACGACGACGACGACGACGACGACGACGACGACGACCACGACGACGACGACGACGACGACGACGACGACGACGACGACGACGACGACGACGACGACGACGACGACAACCTCGACGCCGGCGGCGGCGGCGACGGCGACGGCGACGACTGCCGCCGCCCGCCAGGCGAGGAGGTGGCAACACCCTGGCGACGCCGGCCCCGGCCGTGCCTGCAGGGTCGGGGGCCGGGGCGTCGTCGACGCCGTCGCCGTCGTCGTCGTTCGAGGGTCGAGGATCGACGCCGGCGGGTCGTCTTGGCCACGGCTCGTCGACGTCCTCTTCGTCGTTGACGCCGCCGCCGCCGTCGTCGTCGTCGTCGTCGTCGGCCGCCGTTGTCGGCCGCCGTTGTCGTTGTCGTCGTCGTCGTCGTCGCCGTCGTCGTCGTCGTCGTCGTCGTCGTCACCGTCGTGGTCACCGTCGCTGTCGCCGTCGCCGTCGCTGGCGCCGTCGCAGTCGCCGTCGCCTTTGCAGTCGCCGCCGCCGTCGCCGTCGCCGTCGCCGTCGTCGTCGTCGTCGTCGTCGTCGCCATCGCCGTCGCCGTCACCTCGCCCCTCGGAGGGTCGAGGATCGAGCATCGAGTGTTGTGGATCAGTGCCTTTTATGATTTTTGGGCGGTTTGGGCCTGATGAGGCTTCTGGCGCATGTGCATGTGATCTCCACTTGCAGGGGCAATGGGGACCTCTGCGGACCTGCAATCACTTCCCTGGGCCTTCAGCACAGCGCACTGGGTCGCCAGGAGCGAACATGGCTACGAATCATGGGGGCGATGCAAATGAGCACGATGGTGGTGGTGGTGAAAAGGAGGAGAAAGAGGTGTGTCGTGATGGTGGACGGAAGGGTAACGAGGGAGGGGGAGAAGGAGGGTGAATGAGGGCAACTACGAGGGTTCATGAATCTACTGAGACGAGGCGAAATGGACGAAGGGGGAGGGAGAGTAGGAGCAGCATGGAGGAAAGCGGGACAGGATGGGGACTGCGCCAGGAGGAAGGGGAAGACAGATAATGAGGAAGAACAGAGATTCGTGCCGAGACAGAAGAGGAGGAGGATGAGTGATAGTGAAGCCGAACAGCCTGGAGCAGCATTCGGTCCCTAGACTTTTTGGTACAAACTCTCTGGCTCAAGCACCTCTCGCGCACGCCCGAATGGGTTTTGAGCAATGCAGCCCTATTGGGGTGCAAACCAGATCAACTGCCGAGGGTAGCGTTAGCCAGCCTCATACAGCACAGAAGTGGTGAGACCCATGCAAATCTCACATGCGAGACGCAGCGCTGCTTTGAGCAAGACTTCTGCTGCTTACTTAATGCCTGGTGACATTGTGCATGCTGCGATCTTTGGAACACCGCGAGTACCCAGATGGGTGCGGGCATCACTCTCAGGTCGTGGTCTGGGTTTGTGCTGCCATTTGCATCGGGTTTGCCTTGCAACAGAGATGCGTACCGCTCGGACCAGTTGGGAAGGCGTGAAGCGTTATTCGCTGTATTTTGGCGCTGTCCAGCGGGCTCAACGCAAAGGGCTACCCATCGATACTCAAGTGATGAGGTCGATGGCGTTCGGCGAACTCCCGGTGAGCTTTGCTGGCACGTTTTACCGTGGGTACCATCTCATGCATCGTTTACCTGGGCTTGATCCATGGTCGTTGTCTGTAGACAGGATCAATCCTTCGCGTGGCTATATATCAGGTGACGTTCGTTTCCTTCCGTTTTGGGTGAATGCTTGTTTGCAGCAGTTTTCGGACTACGAAGCCCGCCGCGTTGTCGAACGATTGTTGGGAGTTCGCCCGCCTTTGCCTGTCAAATTGGCAACGGCCTTAGATAGGAAGCACCACAATTGGATGCACAGAAAGGTTTCGTTGAAAAGGCATAACGCGCAGAAGCATGGCATTCTGGTCTCTCCGTGTTTCACGCTGGACAACATGATCCAGTACGGTCTATTACCGGACAGGTGTCCATACAGCGGCATACCCTTTGCCTACGGGGTTTCAGCTGGCAAGGGAGGGGCTTATAACAGTTTATCGTTCGACAGAGTTGTTCCAGAAGGGGCTTATTCGGTGAAGAATGTGCAGGTGGTCGCTATGGCAGTCAATGTATTGAAGCGCGACATGTCGGTTGGTGACCTAGGCCAGCTGCTGAGCGCCATTGAATACTTGAGCACCCCGTCGTTTACCGAGACTCATGTGCCACGGTGTGCGCGTTTGTAGTTGGAGCAGCCGTCTTGCCTTCCCATACCAATGTTTGCCGCCCTGAGAGACAAGAGCTCTTAGTTAAATGTGGCGTCTATGTTTCCCCCCAATGCTGCTGGTATCTGGGCAGCGCTCGAGACATCGTAGGAACTTGCACCAATTTCGCTCCGATGTCCTAAATTGTTTAGATGCTGTCGGGTGGGCAACGTGGAACATGATGGGGGCGAGGTGTAGTGATGTGGTGGTGGTGGTGGTGGTGGTGGTGGTGGTGGTGGTGGTGGTGGTGGTGGTGAGGAGGAGGAGGAGGAGGAGGAGGAGGAGGAGGAGGAGGAGGAGGAGGGAGGAGAGAAGGAGGAGGAGGAGGAGGAGGGAGGAGGAGGAGGAGGAGGAGGAGGAGGAGGAGGAGGAGGAGGAGGAGGAGGAGGAGGAGGAGGAGGAGGAGGAGAGGAGGGGGAGGAGGAGGGAGACGACGGAGGAGGAGGGAGGAGGAGGAGGAGGAGGAGGAGGAGGAGGAGGAGGCGGGGAGGAGGAGGAGGAGGAGGAGGAGGAGGAGAGGAGGAGGGAGGAGGAGGAGGAGGAGGAGTGGGAGGAGGAGGAGGAGGAGGAGGAGGAGTAGCAGGGGAAGGAACACGGGGAGGAGAGGGCGGGTCAGGGAGGGTAGGGGTGGGGTGGAGAATCGTGCCCTTCCGCTCCGATGCTGTCGACGAAGCCAGGAGTGAGCACGCAGAGCTCCCGCTCAGGGGCGCCCCCAGGGCCGCAGTGCGAGGCGGGGCTACGTCCTCGCCGCGTCTCTGGTCGAACGCTTTGCGGCAGTGCTCGGCCCTCTTGCGGCCTCCTCGGGCACTCTTCGGGGTCCTCTTGGGGCATCTCTTGCGGTGGTTGTTGTTGGAGCCTATGACGGTCGTCTCGGCGCCTCTTCGGGGACCCCTCTGGGTTATCCTGATAGGCCTTGTCGGGGCTCTCTCATGGATCTCTTGCGTTGGGGCGAGTTCCCAGACAGGCTGTCTCCGGCCCCGCATTGGGCCTCAGGGGTGCCATTCTTTGGGCCGCCGTCGGGCCATTGTAAGGCTCTTCGGGCCCACCTGCAGTATCGAAGGCAATCCTGCTAGCACCATTCGGACACCGTTGGTCTTTGCATGGTTTTGTTATCTCGGGACCTCCTTGGGAGTCTTTGGGGCCACGCTGGGGCTGCTTGAGGCAGGCTTACAAGCCTCCGCGACAGTTACAGCAGGTTTTTCCAACCCCCGTGGCCCCTAATTTCAATGCCCAGGGATGCAGGCAGCGCGGTTCTCCGGTTTTCAGGAAGCAACACTTGAAGCCATCAGTTGTTGGCACAAACACTGGGATGTGGGCGTCCAGGGGCGCCAAAACGCTGAAGGAAATAACGGCTTCAGTTTTTTTGTTCGCGAGAAGATGTAGATCTTCGAGCCTCGACTCTCGATCCTCCCTTCTCGTCCCGTCCGTCTTGCGCTCCGCTGTCTTTGCTGCCTCTTCTCTTCTTCTGCCTCTGGCTGTTTCGCGCTCTCGGCCACACGCCTCGGGTGGCGTCGTCCTCGGCCTGCCCTGCTGTCTTCAGTCTCACGTTGTGCAGCCATGCGTGCGATGGTTTGATGGGCGGGAATGGACGGATGAGGTGGAGGAAGAGGAGGAGGATGATGAGGAGGAGGAGAAGGAGGAGGAGGAGGAGGTGGAGGAGGAGGAGGAGGCGGAGGAGGAGAAGGAAAGGAGGAGGAGGAGAAGGAGGAGGGAGGACGAGGAGGAGGAGGAGGAGGCGAGGGGGGTACACGGAGGGGGGAGGCGGAGGAGGAGGAGGAGGAGGAGGAGGAGGAGGAGGAGGAGGCGGAGGAGGAGGAGGAGGAGGAGGTGGAGGAGGAGGAGGGAGGAGGAGGAGGAGGAGGAGGAGTGGAGGAGGAGGAGGAAGGAGGAGGAGGAGGAGGAGGAGGAGGAGGGAGGAGGAGGGAGGAGGAGGAGGAGGAGGAGGAGGAGGAGGAGGAGGAGGAGGAGGAGGATGAGGAGGATGAGGAGGAGGAGGAGGAGGAGGAGGAGAGGAGGAGGGTAGGAGGAGGAGGAGGGTGGAGGAGGAGGAGGAGGAGGAGGAGGAGGAGAGGAGGAGAAGGAGGAGGAGGAGGAGGAGGAGGAGAAGGATGAGGAGGAGGAGGAGGAGGAGGAGGCGGAGGAGGAGGAGGAGGAGGAGAACTGATCGATCCTGACCGCTCCCCCCGGCGAGGTCGCTGGGCACCCAGCTCCATCCCCTGGCCGCCCCCCCGCGCCCCGCCTCTGCCCCGGCGAGGCTTTGGCGCCGCCGCCGCCCTCCTTGTCGCCCGCGCCGCCGCCGCAACCGCTGCCGCCTCCGCCACCGTCGCCGCTGCCGCCGCTGTGGCCGTCGTCACCGTCGCCATCGCCATCGTCGCCGCCACCGACGGCGCCGCTGCCGCCGCGCCGCTGCCGCCGCCGCCGTCGCCGTCGTCGCCGTCGCCGTTGCCGTCGCCAGCTGGATCCGCCTTGAAAATCTTGACAGAACGCGCTTCAGGCGACGTTGAGGGTCGATGGTCGTCCTTCGTCGTTCGTCGTTCGTCGTTCGTCGTTCGTCGTTCGTCGCCGTCGCCGTCGTCGTCGTCGTCGCCGTCGTCGTCGTCGTCGTCGTCGTCGTCGTCGTCGTCGTCGTCGTCGTTCGCGGGGCGTGGAAGCCTCGTCCGCAGAGGTCTTGCCAGAAAGGGAGCCCCGAGCGCCGCCAGACGCTCCGACCACCGACCCCCCCGGGAGATCTCTGGGCGCTCCTCGCCCCCCGCGGGCCCCTCGCAGGCCGTCGACCCTCGACCCTCGGCGGCGCCGGCGGCGCCGGCGGCGGCGGCGGCGCCGCCGCCAACCGCGGGGACGGTGACGTCGACGGCGCCCACCGCGGCGGCGGCGCCGCCGCGCCGCCGCGCCGCGCTCCGCTGCCGCGGCAGCGGCGGCCACGGCGCGCCCGGGCGCCGCAGGCCGCCGTCGGCGGACGCCGTCGCGCTGGCCGCCTCGCGGGCCGCCCAGGCCACGGCGGCGGCTGCGGCCTCGCGGGCCGCGGCCTCGCGGCCCGCGTCGCGCAGCTCGACCAGCAGAGGCGCGCCGCTGCGGGTCGATCGATCGAGGATCGACGGATCGATCGAGGATCGATCGAGAGTTTTGGGCCTTCGCGGGACCTCCGCAGACATCCTGGGACATGCAGGGGCCCTCGGAGGCCTCTGGAGACGCCCCAGACCTCCTGAGTCTACCATCGATCGAGGATCCAGGATCGAGGTTTTTGGCCCGCTTTGAGCGTCCAAGGGCCTCTCGTGGCCTCCAGCGACCGCCAAGTCGTCGTCGGCGTCGTCGACGTCGTCTGCGTCGTCGTCGGCATCGGCGTAGTCGTCGTCAACGTTGTCGTCGTCGCCTCGCCCGTCCGAGGTTCGGTTTTTGTTGGGCCCTTTCTGGACCTCCAGAGAACCTTGGATGCCTGACCTCTAAGAATCCACTACACGTAAGAGCGACCCTTCGCCAGAGTGATTTTTGGTGCGGGCCCGTTGGGGCCCCCCGATCGCCGAACGCGATGCGGTAGTAGCGTGTTGCGCGCTAGTGTTTGGTCACCCCGCGGAGCCCTAAAAGCGGCGCACCAAAGGTCACTCTTACCCAGGGGCATCGGACCTTCCGAGGAAGGACCTCCGGAGGCGCATCGTCAGGGAGGCCCAGGACGGCCCGAGTATGTCCAAAACCTGTCCTCACCAAAGTCCGCTCAAAACGGGCCCCTGGACCCCTCACCGGTCCATCCTGGCCAGCTCTTCATCTCGGGTCGATTCTGATAGTCCCTGGGCCCGAAGCGGGCCCCTGGAAGCCTAAATCAATGAAGAATCCCCGACGCGATCTGCCTTCTTGCTCCTATCCCCAGGGGTCCCACGGCGGCCCCTGGAGGCCTCGGGAGGTCACCAGTGGCCCCCCAAAGGACCCCCCCAAAGCATTCAAGACATCTTAATGAGAACCATCCTCCAGCTTCGTCAGTCCCCAACGGCGACGACGACGACCACACCACCACGACCACGACCACGACAGCGACTGTGGCCATCATCATGCGGAGGACAGGGTGGCCCGAGGTGGCCTCCGCCGCCAGGCCAAGGAGGAGCCTGCTGTCGAGCCCCCTTCCCCCACGTACGTAGGACTTTCCAGAATTTCCTAGCCTTCGACTGCTCGCGAAGTTGGGCATCTCTTCCTCGGCGGGGAAGGCGGCGGACGGCGGCGAGAGTAAAACAGTGCCGCCTCCGCCGGCGGAAGCCGGCGGGAGTAAGAATCGGCACTCCAAGAGGTGCCCAATTTCTGGATCCGGGGCTTCCGGAACGAGACATCCGCACTCCTCCGCCCCCTCCGTCGCCTTCGACGCCGCCTCCGCCATCGCCCTCCCCCTCCTCCTCCTCCCTCCTCCTCCTCCTCCTCCTCCTCCTCCTCCTCCTCCTCCTCCTCCTCCTCCTCCTCCTCCTCCTCCTCCTCTCTCCTCCTCCTCCTCTTTCCTCGTCCTCCTCCTCCTCCTCCTCCTCCTCCTCCTCCCCCTCCCCCTCCTCCTCCTCCTCCTTGACCTCCTCGGCCCTCGGCCTTCCCAGGGCCACCCCCCCTGGCGTCGTGTGCTCTCTTCGCCGCGCGGGCCCCATCGACGCCTCGACGCCTCCCCCGGGGGGCCCCGGCCTCTCGTGCCGAGTCGTCCGCGGAGCGGTGCTGGGGCGCGGGGCCCCCCCCGGACCCGAAAGTCGGCCTCGAAAGTTCGGCCAGCAGCGTGTCGAATTCATGATTGCCAGGGGCGACTAAATGTATAGCACGCCGAAGCTGCGGATAAGAACGATACGGGCGCGGGGTGGGTCGCCGGTGGGCCGCAGGTGTGTCGCAAGGTGGGTCTCGGGTGTGTCGTGGGTGAGTCGTGGGGTGGGTCGCGGCCGGTGGGTTGCGGGTGGTCGCGGTCAAGGGAGGACAAATCACCCGGACCCGACAAGCGGCGTTCACTCTGAACGGCCCTGGGCGTTCACTAAACCGCCCTGCCCTGCTGGATTCCCTCTGTGGGTGCGTGTGCTGAACGGCTTCGCGTGCTGGGGGGGGTTCTCAGCGGGGTGGTCATCATCGGGTGCGGGGCCCCCCCAGTCGAGGGAGGAAGAATCACCCGGGCCCGACATTTGGCGTTCACTGAGCTCAGGAGGGGAAAAAGCACACACAGACACAATGAATCTTCGATTCGCAGAACAGATGGGAAAATATGGGAAGCGGGGGGGAAGACAACAACCCAGACCGTATTGGAAAGTACGGGGAATCCGGTGATTTGCGTGTATTTCTTTGTGTGCCCCAGGGCCCCTTCATGAACGGCCCTGGGCGTTCACTACACCGCCCTGCCCTGCTTGCTGCCTTCTGTGGGTGCGCGTGCTGAACGGCTTCGCGTGTTGGGGGGGGGTTGTCAAAATCGTCGGGGTGGATCTCCTGCCCTCTGCCCCGAGGCGGAGGGTGGCCAACGAGCCTCCAGCGGTGACTGGGGCCACGACGCCCCGCGGCCACGACGCGAGGGGGGTCGGGGCGCGGGCCTCAGAGCTCGGCCCCCGCGCCCCGCACGGGGGCGCGACCCGGCCGGCATCTCGAGGCCGACCCCGCCGCGGCGACGAGGAGGCCCAGAAGCGGCTGGAGGCGCCCCCGGGCCTCGGCCCCCTCGATCCTCGGACCGTCGGCGCCGGGCGTCGGGCCTCGACCCCCGACCCGTCGATCCCCGCCTGGGGCAAGGCGGCGCTGGCGGCGCCAGGGCGAGGGCCAGCAAGCAGGTGCCCGAGTTCCCCATCTGCGGCGAGGCCGCGATCCGCCCCTTCCTGGCGGCCCGGTCGGAGGCCCTGGAGGATCGGCGAGCCTTCGAGGTTCGAGGCCCTGGAGGATCGACGACCCTTCGAGGATCGACGACCCTCCGGTTTTTTCGCCCTCCTCGCGCCCCTGGGGGGCTCCTTGTCGCTACGGCAAGATCCGCCTCGAAATTCTGGTCAGAACACGCTTTACGATGTGATCGTTTTCTTATTCGTTGTTTTGCCGATCGGCGCGGACCCTCGCACCCCCCCTCCCCCCTTCCCCCCCGGAGTAGATCTTGGTTGTTTTTGGGCACCCGTTTCGAGCAGGTGGGGTCTACCCCACAGGGCGTACTGCTGCAAGCAGTGGCACTGAGGAGGGGTCCAGAGCCAGACCCCCCCGCTATGTCGAAACGCCGAATAAGAAAACGCTCACGATGGGCCCAGGCCGATTTGTGACCCCTCAAAACTTGAGGCCAGGGCGTTGCAGGTTTTTCGCTTCGGGCGTATTCGCCCAGTTTCGGGCTCCGGCAGGCTATCGCAGATGGATCTGGCCCGAAAAATGCCGCAAGGAGGATGGGACCCTCGGTTTTGTGTGTCACGATCTGTTGTTGCAAAGTTTTTGCGCCGTGGAATCTCGGGGTTGGCACGCGTGCTGAGAAAGGGACAGGGATCGCTGCTGCTGCCCGTGATGCTGGTGGTGATGGTGATGCTGATGATGATAAGGAGGAGCAGGAGGATGATTTTGAAGACAAGGATGGTGATGGTGGTGTTGATTGTGATGGTGATGGTGATGGTGACGTTGATGGATGGAAGTAGCGATTGGTGGTGATCGTGGTGGTGGTGATGATGAAAGTTATGGCCATGATGGGGCTGTTGCTGCTGCTACTGCCAATGACGACGACGATGCAAATGAAGATGATGACGATGCTGCTGCTGATGATGATGAGGACGATGATGATGAAGAACATGATCATGATCATGATCATGACGGTGCTGCTGATGATGCTGCAACGGATGCTGATGATGACGATGATGATGACGACGACGACGGTGATGGTAATGGTCATGATGATGGCGACGATGATGATGATGATGATGATGATGATGATGATGATGATGATGATGATGATGTTGGTGCTGCTGATGCTGATGACGACAGCGACGATGATGCTGCTTATGATGACGATGATGACGAGGATGATGCTGATTCTGATTATGATGCTGACGATGCGGATCAAGAGGATGATGATGATGGTGGTGGTGGTGATGATGATGTTATTGATGGTGCTGCTGCTGCTGATGATGATGATGATCGTGATCATGATAATGATTCTGATGCTGCTGCTGATTCTGACGATGATAATGATGATGGTGATGATAATGGTTATGCTGATGACGACACTGATGATGCAGATGCTGATGCTGATAACGACGATGATGATGCTGCTGCTGCGGATGATTAGGATGATGATGGTAATGATTATGATGATGCTGATGATGCTGATGATGATGATGATGACGAGGACGATGATGCCGCTGATGATGATGGTGATGATGATGCTGATGCTGGCGATGATGAGTACGATAACGATGATGATAAGGATGGTGATGATGCTGATGTTGCTGATGACGATGAGGATGATAGTGATCATGCTCATGACCATGATGGTGGTAGTAATGATGCTGTAGCTGATGATTTTAGTAAAGATGATGACGCTGGAAATGACGACGACGACGGGGTTGATAATGGTTATAATGACGACGGTGATGATACTGCTGATGCTGATTCTGATTACGCTGATGCTGATGATGACGGCGACGATGATGACGATGCTGATGATGATGATGATGATGATGATGATGATGATGATGATGATGATGATAACGATGATGATGGTGAGGGTGGTGGTGGTGATGTTGATGATAACGACGATGACGATGATGATGCTGTTGCTATTGCCGATGGCGATGCCAACGATGATGATGATGATGATGATGCTGCAGATGATGATGATGATGATGATGATGATGATGATGATGATGATGATGATGATGATGATGATGATTATGGGAATATGGGCTGATGGTAACGATGATGATGATGACGATGACGATGATGATGATGATGAGGATGATGATGATGATGAGGATGATGATGATGATGATGTTGTTGATGCTGATGCTGATGCTGATGCTGATGCTGATGATGATGATGCTGCTGCTGCTGATGATGATGATGATGATTATGGGAATATGGGCTGATGGTAACGATGATGATGATGATGACGATGACGATGACGATGATGATGAGGATGATGATGATGAGGATGATGCTGATGATGATGATGATGATGATGTTGATGCTGATGCTGATGCTGATGCTGATGCTGATGCTGATGATGATGATGATGCTGCTGATGATGATGATGATGATGATGATTATGGGAATATGGGCTGATGGTAACGATGATGATGATGACGATGACGATGATGATGATGAGGATGAGGATGATGAGGATGATGATGATGATGATGATGATGATGATGATGATGATGATGATGATCATGTTGATGCTGATGCTGATGCTGATGCTGATGCTGATGCTGATGCTGATGCTGATGCTGATGCTGATGATGCTGCTGCTGCTGATGATGATGATGATGATGATGATGATGCTGATGATGATGATGATGATGATGATGATGATGATGATGATGATGATGATGATGATGATGATGCTGACGTCGATGTAGTCGCGTGATGCGTGTCCCGCATGCGTCGCTCTGCCGTCTTGGGGCGCAGGTCGGGCCCCCCCGGGGCGTCGCGCCTCGCTGCCTGGGCGGGGGTGGCCAGTGTGGAGGGCTTGGCGGGGAGTCTGGCGGACGCAGAGCCTGGCTGCGCGACGCAGGAGTGGCCCTTCTCGGCGGCGAGCGAGGGGGGGAAGTGAGGAGGAGAAGGTCCTCTCAGAAGGCGGCGGGACTTCTCAGAAGCCCCTCGCGCCTTGTGGGAGGTCTTCTGTGCCTTCGTGGGAGGCTTAGAACACTTCTCAGAAGGCTGGGGGACTTCCGAGCCTTCTGAGAAGGCCCGCCCATTCTCTCTTCCCCCCAGGCTCGCCGCCAACCTCTGCTGAAGCGTGGCCGCCTCACGTCGTAAGAAGGTCACGGCGAGAGGGTTTTCGAAGTGTTCGCCCTCCAGGGGGGGGGGCCCTCACCTGGCCCCTGGGACCGTCGGGAAGCGGCCCGCGATGGAGAGCCGGCCCCCCGAGGAAGGGGTCCAGACCTCTTTTGGTAGGGAGGAGGAGGAGGAGGAGGAGGAGGAGGAGGAGGAGGAGGAGGAGGAGGAGGAGGAGGCCACGCTGTGACAGCATCACGGAGCGGTCTCTGGTGCGGGCCCTCTGGTGTGCCGCGAGCGCCGAGCGCCGCGCGATGGCAGCGGCTCGCGCGCCCACGCGCCCTCCCGCCCCCCGCGGCCCACCTGATGCCGCGCACCAGAGGTCACTCTTGACTGGGGCTATACAGCCAAACGCCCTAACAAGGACGCGCGACTTTGCTCAGGGTGCCCTTGCGTCCCTGCTCTTCCTTGCTCTTGCGTCTTTGGAGTTTTTGTCGTCCGCCGCCCCAGAGATCCCAACTTGGGCTTCCAAGGGTCTTGCGTCCTTGCCGCGCGTACTACTTACGAGGGTTTTCGACTGTACGCGTGCGTGCAGTCAGTCGAGTGGCGGCAGCTCCGCCAGCGGAGTGTGTCTCGCGCAGCACCCGCGCGGAGCTCCGGGCGTTTCTGTGTGAATGCCGTATGCGGCCGCCTCGGCACATGCTCCCGACGAGGCCCCGCAGGGCTGGTTGGACGTGGGGGGGTTCGGCGGGCGCCGGATCAACGGTTCGCCCCCCCCCTCCGATGAAGCCACGCCCCCCTATCTGCTGCAGGGGTTGCGCTTGTCTACGTAAAGGGGCCTCTTCCCAAGTCGCCCACACCCTGCCTCGTAAGGGCCGCCCTGGGGACTATCAGTGGGACCGTCAGGGGGCCGTCAGTGGACCGTCAGCGGGACCGTCAGTGGGACCGTCAGTGAAAAGGCCAGTGGGACCGTCAGTGGGACCGTCAGTGGGGCTGTCAGTGGACCGCCGGTGGACCGTAAGTGGGACTGTCAGTGGGTCCCCCTGGGGGCTTGTCAGTGGGCCCCTGGGGGCCAGCAGTGCCCCTCCCCCCTTCGGGGCCGTAAGCACAGAACCAAGAAGCGTGCTACAAACCGCAGACAGACACGCATTGGCAGGCTGTATTAGACGAGGTTGTCCGAGAGGCTGGCCTGATGATGATTCGGGCCGTGGCTACGAGGGTGTCCTCTGGCGGCCAGGATGGATGTTTCGGAGACTTCACACAGCTCGACCCTCGATCCTGGATCCTCGATGTTCGAGCTTCCTCTCGCCCGCGAAGGGGAGGACGGCGCCGCCGCCGCCGCCGACGACGACGACGCCGACGCCGACAAACGAGGGCACACACACGAGGCGGACGATGGCGGCGGCAGGAGCGACGACGACGATCGCGACGACGACGATCGCGACGACGGTGACGACGACGGCGGCCTGCGAGGTGGGCGAGTGGCAGCGCGCCAGGGTGTCGGGGCGCGTCCGCGTGCCGAAGCTCGAGAGCGACCAGGCCAGGTCGGGCGCCTGGATGCTGCGTCGTCGTCGTGTCCGCCGCTTCGGGAGACTCCAGGGGCCCCGGGGCTTTGGGACTCCCAGGGGTTTCCAGAGGCCTCCGGAGGTCGTCGTCAACTCCGCTGCCTCTGCCGTCGCCGTCGCTTTTTGTTTTTGTGTTGTTGTGTGTATTGTAAGTTGTGTGTCTGTGTATGTACATCCATACATTCATACGTACATGTTTGCCTGCTTGGGCCCCAAAAAGCAGTGAGTTATCGCACTTTGGATGCGTAATAGCAGTGGTGAAATCTGTGTTGTGCAACCTTCGTGGTGCTGGCTATGTGCTGCAAGCTATGAATTTCAATTTGTGTGGTGCAAGCTATGTAGTGCAATCTATGCGGTGCAGCCCATGTGGTGAATCTGTGGTGCACCCTATGAGGTGCAAGTGACTAATGTTCACTAAAGGGTTGCCAACCCCAATTCTCGCGCAATCATCCCATCCCCTACCCGCAAATGGTTTTGCGCAACCAATGCGGCCGCGATTGCGGCGACTCTGCGGCACTGGCTGGCGCCGGCGGCTGCGCTAGCGCGCAAAAGCTCGCGCGCAGAGCGACTATCGGGCTTGACACAACCGATGCGGCCGCAATGGCGCTTACCGATGGCCACTTCCCACCGCGTCTCAGAGGCCGCGCCGGAGCGCGGGTACTTTAATGCGGATCGGTGGTTCGGGCGGGCGCGGCATCATGATGACGTCGACATCGACGGCAATGATTATGATAGCAGCGAAGGTGGTGGCGATGATGACGATGACGACGGCCTGGCCAATGACGGTGTCGATGTTGGTGACAGCGATGACGAATGATGATATCCATGTGTCGGTGATGAAGGTGTTTGAATGAAGACGGCGGTGATGGCGGTAAGTGTCGATGACGATGGCGTGATGCGGCCGCGCTGATGAGGGTGATAGTGAGGAAATGCGCGCGCGGATATGCAAGACACCTGGCAATTTTTTTGTTGAAAGCCGTGTGGGTTCATCGTGTTTAATCGTTTATTTTGGAGTGTTTAGCAAGCCCACGGTTTGGGACGGATTTTGACGCGTGCGTGGCGGCGCAAACCTGTTGCCCGCATCGTTTGACACGGATTTGTGCATTGGGCGCCTGCGGGATCAACGCGGGTGCGCCGCGTGGTGAGATCAGCATGCTGTATCGGACGATATTGCTAAACACACATGGTTTTCCGATGATTTCAGCGAGTGCGGCGGGTCAGAACATCCGCAAGGTTTGTGATGGGCAACCTGAGGGGCTTTGGTGCTTTCCATTGACATGTTGGCAACGTTTGGCAGGATTTCTCGTGCAAGGAAGTATTGAAATCATATGTTTGGCGATCGACGGGTGCGTGGGCATATCATTATCTGACAGGGATGACGGGGGTCGAGACCGGTTGGGTTGGGATGATCTGAGTTCATATGGAACAGGAACGACGAGGCAGGATCAGATGTCGGAGGTTCGGGGGTGAGATCGAAGTGGGATGGAGAGCCCCACACCGGAAAGGCAGTTTCGGTCTCGTGTTCGTCTTCGTGTCGTGCGTGCGGGCGATGCGAAGCTGCGTGGGCTGGCGAGAGGACTGGTTCCGCCGTGGCGAGGGCGGGTCAAGAGCCGTTGACCGCCCCTGCTCCTCCCCGGGTGGGCGGGCGGTGGCCGGGCTGTCGCGCCGTGGTGCCCCGTCTCCGTCCGTCTCTCCCCCGAGGTGGGCGGGCGGCGGCCACGCTGTCCCGCCGTGGTGTCCCGTCGTGGTGTCCGGTGTCCCGTCGGTGTCCTGCGGCGAGATCGACAGTGGGATGCCACTACGGCGCAGCATGGTCACCACGCGTCGTCGCCAACTCGAGGGCGCATCACCAGCATTGTCATCGTCACAGCCGTCGCAGTTGTCGTCAGTCTGTTCCCTCCCCCCACCCGCCAACCTCCTTGATCACCTGCAGGGCGGTCCTATCTGTAATCTGCAGTGCCCCAGGGGGTACTACTAAGTCCGGGGGGGAGGGGGTGGTAGAGTCTAGTCTTGTTTTCAAAAGAGGATTCGACTTACTTGAACTTAACTTTTATAGCTTGTCTTACCTTAACTGGATTAAGCTCAACTTAACTTATATCGACTTAGCCTAACTTAGCTGAACTTACGTGTGATGCAGCCTGTGTGGTGCAGGCCAGGTTGTGCAACCTGCAGCGGGCCCTCACGAGGACGCCCACGAGGCGCCCACCGGGCGGAACCTCGGCGGACCCCGTCCGCGCATCGGGCGCCCACGAGGCGCCCACGAGGCACCCGCCGGGCGGAACACTGGCGGACCTATCCAACGGTTCACCAACAGAAGTAGGAGTTCTTCAGTACAGACGCTGTCTGGGGATCAAAGGTAGGCATCTGTGTGCACACACACAGTTGCCGTGCGTCTGTGAGCAGTCGTGCTCGCTGCTGTAACTGGGTGGGCCTGTTTGGGCATGTGGGACCGGGCCTCTGGGATCGAGGAGCTGGCCCCAGGAATTGATTCGAGGGCTCCATGCTCTGGGCCCCGCTTCACGAGCAAAGTCGTGGGGTCGGAGTCCCTGCTTCTCCCTCCTTCTCCCTCCTCTCCTCTCCCCTCCTCTCTCCCTCTCTTTACAACAACACAACATGGATACTACTCTACCTCCCTTGCCCGCAGGCGGCGGCGGTGAGGTGTCCCGGCCTCCTCCATGTAGTGTTTTTTTTACACGCAGGATGCCGCCGAGTTGATAATCACTATGTGCTTTTCCAATCCGAACGTTTCAGTTCTTTCAGACTGGCGCTCCCGCTACACCGTTGGCTCCATTTTCCTGTTCCTAGTCCTTCCGAATCATGTTCCCGCTGTAGTGCTGACCTCATTTCATTGTTTCGGCTCTTCAAATCGTGCTCCTGCTGCAACGTTGGCTTCGGTTCTGCGCTTCCAGTCCTTCCAAATCGTGCTCCCACTGCAGCGCTGGTCTCACTTCCGCGTTTTGGGTCCTTCGAACTCGTGCTCCCGCTGCAGCGCTGATCTCATTTTGCGGTTCGCGCTTTCCAAACCGTCTATTTGCATTTCCCGTCCTGTATCATGTCTGCTTTCTTTCCGACCTTGTTGTCGATCTGAGTCGCGTTCTCGACGATGCCATTCTATGCCGTGCCATACGATACATCACGTACTCTCTCGGGATCAATGTCGTGTTCGACATCTGACTGTGCGAAACGAGAGGAGATCTACGCAACGGTAGCGGATGGGAGGGAGGGATAGGACGTCAACTATGACGCTTGCGCGTCTAGCTTGTCTCCCCTCCCATCTTTCCCCTGCCCTCCTTTCCTCCTCCTCCTCCTCCTCCTCCTCCTCCCTTCTTGCTCCCTCCCTCCCTCCCTCCCTCCCTCCCTCCCTCCTTGCGTCTCCCTCCCTCCTCTCCGCTCTCCTCTCCTCTCCTCCTTTCCTCCCTCCCTCCCTCCCTCATGCCTCCCTTGACCCGCCTCCCTTCTGGGGGCCTCCAGCAGATTCCCCCAGACCTCCAAAGCCATGCGGACTTACCAGGCTTTCTGTCATGAGCGATTCTGGGCCCTCCCAGGACGACGAGGCAGCGGAGGAGACGAAGGACGACCGGGCACGGAGGGCCACGAGCCGAAGGCCGATGCGTCGGGTGAGATGTTGGCACGGGAGAGGCTCTCACACGAGCGTGAGCCGTTCCCCGTGCCGCTGTGGTTGCGCAAGTCTGGGCATGGTGACCTCCATTCCGCCACCTGGCGTTGCACATGGCGCTGACCGAGCTTGGTCGGATTGCCACCCAGCTCGCGCCCCTGCCGAGCACCTCTCCGGGCACGCCTGGGCGCGCCCTTCTTGCACCCCTCCGCCCGGGCCTGGGCCGCTGCACGCCGCCTCAAGTCCTGCATGGTCTGCGAGGGGCCGCCTGCCTCCCGCCCTCCCTCCGTGGCCGCCCCCCCTTGCTGCCTCTTCCTTCTCGTGAAGTTCAGCAACTTGCTGCACCGTAGCCCTGTGCCTACAGGACCGACCTGCGCGAGCGCCAGGCCCGCGGCGAGCACGTGCCCCATCAGTCCTTGTCCAGCGGCTGGCCGTGAACACACAGGCGCGCCGATTCGCTGAAGGGCAGTCGTGGTTCGCTCTCACTCTGCCACGAGCGACGCAGCAGCACAAGCTCGTGCTCGTGCTCGTGACCGAAGCGGAACTCGCCACAAGGGGCCCGGAGGAACCCGCGGCGCCTGCCACGGAGGCATGCCCGCAGCCTCTACGCAGGCGGCTTTGCGAGCGCCCCGGCGTCGGCACGCCCGAAGGCCCGAACGCCTGGCCGTTCCTCGACGGGCTGCTGCTGTGCTGTGGTCGAGGCTTCGTGGTTTGCGTGTCGCGCCGCCCGTCCTGGCCCGCCGCGCTTCGGCGCGATACGCCGACCACGTCCCAGCTCCTGGGCCTCAGCGCCCCGCGCTCTTCCCAGTCTTCTGCCTGAGCGGAGCGACGCGCCATCCGCTCGAGGGGCACAGCGCGCAGCAGGGCGCCCGCCACCGCGCCGAGCTGAGCAAGCACTCCTGGCCGTACACCCCGCCGGGCCGAGCTTCTGGGCCGAGGGGTGCCCGCAGCGAGAGAGGCCCGTGCCCGCTGGAGGAGGAGGAGGAAGACCAGGAGGAGGAGGAGGAGGAGGAGGAGGAGGAGGAGGAGGGGAGGAGGAGGAGGAGGAGGAGGAGGAGGAGGGGAAGGAGGAGGAGGAGGAGGAGGGGGGGGAGGAGGAGGAGGAGGAGGAGGAGGAGGAGGAGGAGGAGGAGGAGGAGGAGGAGGAGGAGGAGGAGGAGGAGGAGGAGGAGAGGAGGAGGAGGGAGGAGGAGGAGGGGAGGAGGAGGAGGAGGAGGAGGAGGAGGAGGAGGAGGAGGAGGAGGAGGAGGAGGAGGAGAAGGGAGGAGGAGGAGGAGGAGGAAGAGAGGAGGAGGAGGAGGAGGAGAGAGGAGGAGGAGGAGGAGGAGGAGGAGGAGGAGGAGGAGGAGGAGGACCTCCCCGTCCTCCCTCCCCCCCCCGCCCTACCTGTGGCAGTGGTGGTGGAAAGCTGACCCATCAGGGGTTCCCACGGCGAGGGAGGCCTGCGCCCGCTGGCCGCTGCTCGCCGATCCTTCGGCGGCGTTCGCGCGGCGCGCTTCGCTGGCGCGGCCTCGGTGTGCGCCGCGTCGGTGTCCTTCTGGGCCATCCTGGCTGGGGTCGGAGTGGATGGGGTCGGAGGATCGCCGATGCATCGCCCATGCATTGCCGATGCGGCCCGATGTGGAGCCCGATCTGCCCCACGCCGATGCTGCCGAGGCATCGCCCGTGTCGACGATGCATCGCCGGTGCATCGCGGATGTACCGGCGATGCGGCGCGATCCTCCGACCCCGTCCGCTCCGACCCCATCTGAGGAGGGGGCGCGCCCTCGCGCGCCGGCGCGCGCCCCCCGGCGCCCCGCGCCCGCCCTCCCGCTCCAGCTTCTCCTCCTGTCCGCAACCGCCGTCGCTCCACTTCCCTCCCTCCCTCCCTCCGTCCCTCCGTCCCTCCCTCCCTCCCTCCCTGCCTGCCTCCCTCCCTCCCTCCCCCCTCACAGCCGAGACGCTGGAAGAAGGGCCGCTTTGGGCTCATGAGGGGCTCGGGTTTTCGGGCCGCTGCTCCGATTCAGGTCGTGGGGCCTCGTCGTGGCCGAGGCCTTCCGTGGCCAGAGAAGAACCATCGGTCCTTCTTCGGCGCTCTTTCTGGTGTGGCGCGAGGACTGTCGGTCGTGCTTTCGTGCTTTCTGGCCAGTGCTGTGCTGCCCGTTCGGCCTCGCTGTTCTTTCCTCTTGTCCGGCTTGTGCGCGCTGTGTTCTATTGTTCCGAGGAGGACTGACTCGAGCTGGTGTGGCCGAGCAAGACAAGAGAAGAGGATTAGGAGGAGGAGAAAAAAGAAGGGGGGAGGAGGAGGAAGAGGAGGCGGAAGAGGACGAGGAGGTGGAGGAAGAGGAGGAGGCGGACAACAACGGAAGAAGAGGAGGTGGAAGAGGAACAGGAGGAAGAGGAGGAGGAAGGGTTCAGTGGGTCTCAACAGATCGAACGGGACTACGAGGAGATCTGGGGTGACATGGGGCGTTCGAGCAGGACGAGGACAAGGTTACGGAGTTTTGTTTGGGCAGCCCCAGAGGCTTACAGAGGGGCATCATGTCTTTGGACGGGAAGAAGGACTAACAACAGCAGGATCAGCAGGAGCAGAATATTGGGGTGGAGGAGGCGGGCGGAAACGGAGGAGGCGGAGGCGGAGGACGAGGATAAGGATGAGGATGAGGATGAGGAGTAGGAGGAGGAGGAGGAGGTGGAGGAGGAGGAGGAGGAGGAGGAGGAGGAGGAGGAGGAAGAGGAGGAGGAGGAGGAGGAGGAGGAGGAGAAGGAGGTGGGGGTGAGGTGGCGGGGTGTCGGAGGAGAAGGGAGCCGGCGTGAAGGAGGCCGTCCACGACTTTGTTGCTCTTTCGGGCCCCTGGCCCCGAACGTCGCCCCCGGATACGGTAGGTTCGCGTCGTGTCGACCAGCGGCGACCCCAGCGCGGGCGTTCAAGGTTGAACGCCGCCGGCGACCCAGAATCGATCGATGTTGAACGATCGGACGTTGCGGCAGCGGCCGATCGTTCAAGGTTGAACGATCCCTGCGGTGTCAGAAACCAACGCTGGGGTCGGCACGACACGAACCTGCCGTACCGAACTTGTTCGAACATCCTCCGCCTTGGTGTTTCAAGACGTCGGAGGTCTCAGGACGACTGCGGCGGAGACGGCCGTGAAGACGACGACTCGGCGGCGGCGCCGGCTGCGCGCAGGCGAGGCTGAAGCGGCTCTGCGTCTCTTGCCGCGAGGACGCCTGCTGTCCTTGCCGTCGTCGGTCGATGATCCAAGCTCGAGGGTCGAGGTTTCGGGCGTTCGGGGATGGTTTTCGGGCCTCCAGGAGCCTCCTCGTGGTGATAGCTGGATCCGCTTCGAAAAACTGTTTCCAGTGGACTTCTGGACAGCCCTGGGGGTCGACTCTGGAGGGAGGCCCTTCGTTGCCGTCGTTGTCGTTGTCGCCGTCGGCGTCGTCGCCGCCGCCGCTGCGTCCACCGCCGACGTCGGCGTCGTCGGCGTTGTCGTCGTCGTCGTCGTCGCGTCCGCCGCCGCCGCCGCCGTAGTCATCGTCGTCGTCGTCGTCGTCGTCGTCGTCGTCGTCGTCGTCGTCGTCGTCGTCGTCCCCATTCATCCAGTATGCTGAAGGCGACGGAGCAGTTTTTTGCAGTATTTTTTCGGAGTGCTCCTGCCCTCCAGGGTGTTTTCTATTGAGCCGCCCTGGGCGAGCGAGGCCTCCCGGGAGCACGGGGCCAGCCCGAAGGGCCGCATAAGGGGCTCGACTTATGCCCGGGAAGCAGGCAGGAGGAGAGAGAGGAGGGGAGGAGAGAAATGGAGCAGCGCTTGTAAGCGTCGATCGGATGTGGATAGACCTCCTACCCTGACGCGTCGATTCGTGAGTTGGCCGTTTTCGGTTCGCGAGAGGGCGTCGCGGCCGTTATTTTTGCGGGTCTAGGTCCGTCGGTTTCGGCCCCAGGTTGTTTTCCCTAAAGGGAGGTTTACTAAAGTGAGGTTTGTCCACCGCCGATGGGATTGCTTGTAAACGTCAAGGTAACACATGAATGTCTCGTTTCTTGCCTCCTGGGCGGCCCTCGTCGCCGCTGCTGGATCCGCCCCGAAAGCCTGGTCGGAGACGACCCAGGACAGGCCCGAGAACGGATTTCGAAGGAGGACGTGGAGGTGGAGCAGGAGGAGTACGAGGGCCGTGGCCCTCACCGCTATTCGTTTACAGGACGAGTAACTTCGACGGCAGAGGGATCGGTGACGGAATTCCAACCCCAGCATCGCACTGAGTATGAAGGTCAGTCCCTTGACGTTTTGCCGACAAGACTTGGGAACAAACTCTGCGGGCGCGGCACCAGAAAATGAGTGATCCCAGCACGGTGCGATTCCTGATAGCCCATCCTTCTGAGCATTGGTGCCTCCCGCCTGGATCTCATGACGACAAGGCTGAGTTTTCATTTCTCCTTCTGGTGCACCTTCTTTTTCAATTCAAGTGCCCCTCCTGGGGCTCGCAAATGTTAGGTGCAAAGGAAAATCTTGGGCCTCAGATTGGGTTGCAGTCCGCCGAACTGCAACAACAATGGCTCCAGCTTGATGCTTCCTCACAATATATTCAAGGTCGCGGTCTCGCGCGGGACCGCCTGAGACTTTATCCAGGAATCGCGCTCTCGCGCGGGACTTTTTTCAATTTATTGAGACGCCTCGCCCTGACCACTCAAAAATCACGCAATCACGCTCTCGCTTTGGACTTCCTAACGATTCATTTGGGATTCGCGCTATCGCTCGAGACTTCCTCGCGATTCATGCAGGACTGACGACCCGCCCGCTCGACCCGGCCGTCTGGGCCCGCTCGGGGTCCGCCCGCCCGACCCGACCGTCTGGTTCTGCCGCTTGTCTTCTTGCTCCTGACCCCCTCCGGCGAATCTTCCTGGTGCCCCTGTCCTTCTCCCTTCCCCCGGTCCCTCTCCCCTTCTCCCTCCTTTCCCTGTTGTGGGGGCTGCGCCGACTACACGTGGCAGGTAAGGAAGATGTACCCCCAAGGGGGGGTTAGATCAAAGACGAAGAGGGCGGGTATCCAGGGATTGTGACCTACGGATCTGCATGTTGGATGTCACGCGGGCAGATAGGAGCGCTCAGTCTTAAAGTGAATGTTGTTGTTGATGGCGTTGGTGGTGTTGACGATGCTGATGATGATGAGGATAAGCATGAGGATGAGGATGATGCTGCTGATGCTGATGATGCTGGCGGTGATGCTGGTGATGCTGAGAATAATGATGCTGGTGATTTTAAGTATGGCGCTGGTGATGGTGATGCTGGTGGTGATTACGACGATGATGAGGACGATGATGACTATGGCCAGGCTATGGTGATGATGTTGCTGATGCTGATGCGGAGGTTGAGCAATTTAGGGTGACCAGGAGACCGGAGGAGGTGAACGAAGAGGAGGATGAGGAGGCTGGGATAGTGATGCAGAGAAGGGGCAAGGAGGAGGAACATAAGGAGGAGGAAGAAGAAGAGGAGGACTCTCAAGAGGAAGAGGAGGAGGGCCAAAGCATACCCCCTCTGCATCAACGCTGCTGCAAAGCAACTTCCCGTCCCAAGTCTCCTCGTTGCAAATCGCCGCAGGGGTTTCATCTCATTTTGGGCAACGCCCCTTTGAAAGACGAACGCCGACTGGGCCTCTCGTTCAGGCAAGAGCCTCTCATTTGGGCGAACAGCGCCTATTCTTTCTAGCTATAAGGCATGTGGGTCGGCCGTAGTCTAAGCTTCAAGGACGACTCCAGCGATATCTGAGTTCTAAGCAGGAGCCTCCCTCCACCCGTGTAGCTGTTGCTCGCTGTCGCAATGCTGGTCGGACCTTCTACGAAGTCCCAAGCGACCCCCACCGTTTTGAACAGGAGCCGCCTCCGAACGTGTAAACAATACATATGCGTTTTCTGGGCTACATCGTTGGATGGGGGCATAAGCGACTCATTTGTATGTATATGTTAGCCAGCGTGGACCCCCAACAGCATGGTTCTAGCCGTAGAAGTTGTGCAGCCGATGTGGAACACCCATGCCGTACAACCTATGAGGCCTATGTGGTTCAATCTATGTTGTGCACCGTATGTGGTGCAACTCACGTTGCGCAATCTATGTGGAACAGCCTAGGTGGTGCAATCAATCACTTGCTCAACTTGATGCTGTCCTTTCCACTGCGCGTGCAAACATCCCACCCTCCCACCCGCAACTTGGTCGCAAGACCTCTTAAGACTATGACGGTGGGTGCCACATGGCACTTGGCAACGACACCGACGCCGACGACGACAGCGAGAACGACGACGACGACGCCGCCGACAACGACTACGACGACACCGACGACGTCCCCAACGACTTCGACGACGACGACAACGACGACGACGACACCGACGACGACGACGAAGACGCCGACGCCGCCGACGACGACGATGACGATGACAACGCCGCCGACGACGACGACGCCGACGACGACGATGCCGCCGACGACGACGACGACGACGACGACGACGACGTCGCCAACGGAGACGACGACGTCGACGAGGGAGGAGGGACGCCGACGACGGCGACAACGTCGACAATGACGAGGGAGGAGGGAGGATGTCGATGCCGCGAAATACGAAGACGGAGGGAGGACGGCGACGCCCTACGACGACAACGACGAGGGAAGAGGGAAGACGACGACGACGACGACGGCGACGAAATAGGAGGGACAACGACGAAACGCCGACGAAGACGACGAGGGAGGAAGGACGACCACGGCGACAACGACGACGGACACGACGACGACACCAAGACGACGACGACGACGACGACGATCGACAGAGGACGACGACGGTGACGACGACGCCGACGACGAGGGAGGAGGGAGGACGGCGACGACAACGACGACGCAAGGGCGCGCGCGCACGCTTTTGTTGGAACTCCGTGTTGCGAGACCCTGTGTTGTTGTATGTTTTTTGGACACTCGATTTTGACATCCTTCCGAAACGGAGGGTTTTTGACGGATTTCGGCATGCGCGCGCGACGACGCGCGCGTGTGCACTTCGTCTTGTTTTTTGCAGACGATTCTCGCGACGGCACGCGCGCAAGGGCGTTTGACAGATTTCGACATGCGCGGGCGCGAAGCCCGTTTGGTAGTGTTGTTTTTGTTGTTTTGTTCTGTTGTTGTTGAAAATCTTTAAAGTCCAATGGCTTTCTTAAGATTTCGCAAAAACGCGCGTAGGCTTTTTTAGAAGCTCAGCGTTGCGAAACCCTGTGTTTTTCTGTGTTTTGATTGGAATCTCGATTTTGAAACCTTTCCGACACCGAAAGTTTTTGAAGGATTTCGGCATGCGCGCGCGACGACGCGCGCGTGTGTACTTCGTGCTATTTTTTGCAAGGGGTTCTTGACAACTTATGATTTTTGATAAACGAGTGTGCGCGCATAGTTCTTTCGCAGAAGATGGCGGGGGGAACCGATACCGGTTTGGCTGGGATAGTATGAACTCACAGGTAGGATAGGCATTGGGTCAGAATCCGATTTGCTTTACATCGGTTCCCGGGGGGTTTTGACCCCCGGGGGGGGGCAGAGTGGTAGATTTGTTAGTTTTAAAAGGAGAATATACGTGGTGCAATCTACGTTGTGCAATTGACTACCTGGCACCGCGCCTGACCACCTCCACTGCTCGCGCAAACATCCCACCACCCACCCGCAACTTGGTCGCAAGACTTCTTAAGACAAGACCGTGACGGTAGGTACCACATGGCACTTGGCCACGACACCGACGCCGACGACGACAGCGACAACGACGACGACGGCGCCGCCGACACCGACTACGACGACACCGCCAACGTCGACGTCGACGAAGACGACGACGCCGACGACGACGACGAAGACGACGACGACGTCGCCAACGAAGACGACGACGAGGGAGGAGGGAGGACGACGACGGCGACAACGACGACAACGACGATGGGTGAGGGAAGACGGCGACGACGCGAACGACGAAGAAGGAGGAAGGACGGCGACGCCGATGACGACAACGACGAGGGAGGAGGGAAGACGAAGACGACGACAACGACGACGAAGACGACGACGACGACGGCGACGAAATAGGAGGGACGACGACGAAGACGCCGACGACGGACGACGACGACGACGAGGGAGGAGGATAACAACGAGGGAGGAGTGAAGACGACGACGACGACGACGACGGCGACGAAATAGGAGGGACAACGACGAAACGCCGACGAAGAC